AAAACAGGAATCAACACAAACTAGAAGAACACTGAGATTTAACGAGGTTCGGCAAAGAATTGCCTACGTCCTCGGGAGCGAGCGGCGGTTTCACTATTTCAGAGAAGTTCAATTACATCCCATAGGGTTTCCCATATAAATAGACATATACAAACCCTCAGATAAAATTACAATCATGCCCTCGCTCCTCCCAACCCCCTTTATTCCAAGAGACACTCCTTTTCACCAGGAGACACGCCTCTTCAAAAGAAACTCCAACTCCCCAGATATGAGCCATATCTAACAGATGCAAGAAATTCAGATAACATACTTTGCACATAATGTGACTTAAAACCATTTTAATCTAGGAAAACACAAAATAAAATGCAGGACAAACACACCTGAGGAATCACAATTGCCAAGTTCAGAACACCCATCGCAAGTCCTACAAGGAAACATATCAAAACATTTAGCCGCATTAAGATAGGAAAAGAAATAACATACACATTGACTAATACATCACAAGGATTTGTTAATCGAAAAGTTGGCAATCACCTTGTCCAAGCCCTAAAGCCTCTATGCGAGCAGATATCAATGCATAAGGAAGACTATAGGTGATCTGCAAAAGTCAGCATAAACTGATAAATAAATCATATTTTGCCCATAGAGGCTAACATCATTTGAAAATAGAAAAGCATAGGGAATTCAAAGATAAAATATATTACAAGAGAAGAAATGTTGTTCACTCAACTGCCAAAGGCGCACCCAGGATGGTGAAAACAATTAGAGCAGCAACAACTATACCAGTTGGCGGTGGAGCCGTGCTTGGAATCTCCATACTGTTCAACACTGCAGTAATTATGAGCATTGCCCCCAAGCAGAAAGATAAAATAATGCTCGAAATTCCCCAGACTAAGCCAGATCCCAACTTTTTGCAGAGTTTTTCCAGCATTACTGAAGTAAACCCAAGAACAATTGCATTCAACATTAAACCGAAAGCTCCCATCCTCACTCCCGCATGATAACTTTGCCCTCCATTTGGATCTCCTCTGTAAATTTCTCGACCCATCCAATCAGTATCAAAAAGGGTAAAGGGAAACCATCCTATCCAATTAAGTGCAGTGACAATTAAGATTATCCAAATGGGCAATGTTATAAATCGAAACACACCCAGCAAATCCCAAAAGAATGCCTCTTGGGCAGGTGTTTCTTCATCAGGATACGAAGAAGCTGTTGAACTTAAGGGAACTTCCTTGACTGAAGATATACTAACATATGTAGTTAAAACAAGAAGAACAACATCGATGAGGAAAACTGACTTTAGGTTGGCACAATTTGTACTGCAAACTTTAGTGACAGTAAATGGTAAGATCTTAAACCAGCCACTAAAAGCTCCAGCAGCATAACCAAAAATACTACCCAAGGCCATAAAGAGCGAATAATATGCATTTGCTACACGAGTTCTCCTGTGATCCTTTCCTGTAAAAGTTAGAAAATAATAAAGAAATAAAGAAAATAAAAGCTAAGTTTCTTGCATGGCTAATGTCACACACCTAACACATTGACCAAGTTAAGCTATTAAACAAAATTACTGACTAAAGCAAACAAAAAGCATTCAAATATAAGGCTCATATTACATAAACTGCAAGAGTAAGGTGCCGATTGTAATTATTCCTGTATGTTTGTTATACACAAATGAACTATCAGTACTCAGAAGTGTAGGCTACAAACTTCTTAGGACATATTGGTCCCTCATATTCAAATCTATTCTATATGTTTATAGAGCATTACATTAAAAAAAAATACAAAAACAACAGTGGTATGATATGGAGCAAGACAAAAAACTGAAATTAGCAAAACAAACTTCATGGTCAAACAAAATCCCCATAATTAAAGACATAGCTACTTCTATAACCAAAATTTTTTTAGTATACATACAGCAAGTTAGATCTTGAGGATAAAAACAATATTTACGATTCACAATCTCAAAACATCATAATTGCATTTTAGCTGTATGGCATACAAGAAGATAGAGGTAGCGTGTTTATTGATCCTCCAAAAAAAAAAAATCAAGCAATCAAGCACAAACTTCGACACAATCATTTAATCAAGTATTTGGAATTGATTACAGGTTTTTTGAAAATGAATCAAGCATTCAGCTTGACAAGAGAAACCATCAAACCCAATTATGCCATGAATATCTAAATCTGAATCCAATCGAGCATAAATCTAGTACTCAAAACATGATTGAAATTTTCTCAAGACCATATGAGAGGTTAAACATCATTGAAAATTTACGTGCTTATAATCTAAGCAATTGTCTTGACAAAACAAATCTAACAAAACCAAAATTGCTCAACTTTGAGTTCAAATAATAAAATGTCAAAAAACTATAGCATGACAAAAGAGAACCTTCTTAGAAGACATGATGAAAAGTCGGGATCTGTAACAGAAATGACTAGAACATTCCTCTATATTTTATGAAGAAGCTCTATTTATACACATGAAGAGGACAAGTTTCTATGGACAGAAATATAAGATTCATAGGGGTTTTTAGGTTGGGAGAATTTAAAGTGTATCGTAACTCTTATGCAGTGATTTTAAAAATCAAGTGTTTAATACACAAAATTACAGATACAATATAAAGTATGAATGTATTTGAAGTTTACACCTTCGGTCATGTTGGATGAATTTAGAATTCAGCCGATTTGGTTGAATTTAATATTTACATATTTCTTTAATGTGAAATGCTACCTACAGGCCGTTGGTTGACGTTCAATGACGTTTGTCGGTCGCCGCCGCAGGAGATCGCTTGTTGGCCCCCACAAAACACCGTCAATCAGCCTCCACAAAGTGCGGCCCGCCAGCCGCCTCCAGCTCGCCGTAAGTCATTGTAGGACCGCTTGCATGCCTCCACCGAAAAATCTATCGTTGTCACCGCGGCTCGCCTCCAACGGTCAGAGCAACCCTCCGCCGCCATGAGCTGCCGCAGTCGGTCACCGAAGTTGATTGACGATCGTCGTTGTTGGATGTCGTCTGCCACTCACAACCTGTCAATGATATCTTATATATTTTGAAATACATTATTTTCAATCTACTTTAAACCAAAAAAAAAATATAAAATCCTGAGTTTATTTTATAATTAACCAAACTACTCTAAAGTATTTCAAATACAATACATTACTTTTATATTATATTCATTTAACACTATATTATTTATTCAACAAACCAAACAGCTCGATAGAAAATTCTAGAGCTCAGCGGGCTCAACTGACGTTAACTGTCAAATGACGTCAACAATCATTGTCGCCATCGCTCATCAACCAAGAACAAACACCATTCATTGCCTGTCACCGCCCAACGCCGACTGTTAATCAACATTAACACTAGTTGTCATTAACCAACATCAATACCCACCAACGCCACCACTTGGAATTAATTGTTGACCCACATCAACACCAACAAAGCTAATTGTTGCCTGTCACCTTAAACCCTAAACCCTAAATCAAACACCCTTCATTGCCTGTCACCGCCCAACGCCGACTATTAATCAACATTAACACTAGTTGTCATTAACCAGCATCAATACCCACCCACGCCACCACCTGGAATCAATTGTTGACAAACATCAACACCAACAAAGCTAATTGTTGCCACCATCAAACATGTCATTAACTAACATCAATGTCCATTGTCATCACTTGCGGTCCATCATTGATTGACATTAATAGTGGTGAGCATTTTTTGGTCAAAATAAAAAAAATTTGCCCAAAAAGCTCATTTGATTAATTCAATTCGATTTTAAAATAATAAATCGATTTTTAATTTTAAAATTAATATTCATATTTCAAATTTTTAATCAATTTTCATCTTCTCTGAACCAAATAAACTAAAAAAAAAGAATAAACATTAAGATGAAAATAAATTGAGCACATAACACTTATTTTGAGTTTGTTTGAAAATTCTAATTTCAAAGAGAGGTGAAGATATAAGAAAAATATATGAAATTTCTATTTTTAAAGTTTAACCCTTTATTTTTAAGAAGTTTTGAGCAGTGCAAAATTTTAATTTGGTCAAAATTGAACTGATTAAAACACCATATATTTTAGTTTGGTTTGGAATAGTCTTAGTAAAAGATTGATCAATTCAATTTTTGGACTTTGGATTTTGATTTTATTTGATTGGACTAATTTGTAAACTAATTGATCAACTCGTAGACAATGGTGTTGATCATTGCCATCATCCAATATCGGATAGAAATTGTATGACAATCCTATTCTTACTTTGTCATATTTGCCCTCCTATCAAGAAAATAACTAAGTTTACTGCCCAACCATCAGCTAATGCTTTGTCCAATGTCCATAATTCTTTAAGTAGCCAACCAATCATTTTATCAGAAGAAAAAAATATGCCAAACACCTACAATCACCTTACTTTTAACATTCCCCATTGATTTTCAATTGACCAAGATTGGCGTTTAATGTCTATCATCCACCGATGTCTAAATCCTGACTTTCTAGTTGATAATCTCCCTTCTTATTAGGAAAATATCAAATTGTTTGCCAAACTTCACGTGAAACTTTTTAGTTACTTATCAACTATCATTCAATGCCCTATCAAAGCTCCTATCAGAAGAATGCTTAATAGACCGCCTAGTTGACAACCTTCAAAAATCTTTTTTAGAAGCCTCTTAATGAATGATGTCTATAACTACAAACCATTAACATCTAACCCTCATCTTGCAACTAGTCCTAACTCCCCTCCGGCTACAACAAAGCTAACCACTAATTGTTGCCTAGCTTATGACATCCTCAGTTAAAAATCATCCATCATTTATCAACAATTGGCTTCGATGCTCATCTTATCAACCTCCTGGTTTCCTTATCAAAATAATGATCAAGTCGATCATTGATTGTTGCTTAACTTCTAACGTTACACATTTGCCATCATCTAAAGCTTGCCACAACAAAAATTTAACATTTGTCAGTGATCAACATATTCCCATCTTTACAATCATCAGATCTCTCATTTAGGGTCTGTTTGGAGCCGTTTTTTTCGCGTGGTGCGGCCCCAAATCGCGACATCTCGTCATTTGGATGCCAACTTCGCGGCTGCACGTCACTAAAGTTGGCGAAAAGCGGGCTGCGGGTCACTAAAGTTGGCAAAAAGCGGGCTGCAGGATCAACCCGCGGCTCCGTGTTCGCCCCGCTAATATTACCATAGGCCCCACGATCCTCTTTTCTTGCGAACGCTCCTCGTCTTTTGCCCTAGCGTCCCGCCTGGTGTTCCTGAGCCTTCTCGCGAAGCCCCCTGCGCCTTCTTCCTCAACGAGCCAGGTAGCCTGCGTCTTCTTCTTCCTCGATGAGTCGGGTAACACGCGCCTTCTTCTTCCACGCGAATACCCCTGCGCCTTCTTTCTCGCAAAGTTCTATCATCAGTCAAAAATTTTCCGTATTTTTCCTCCTCAACCCACCAAAATTCCTAAATTTCATTTACCTCCTCATTTTCCCATATGGGTCTCGGCTATCTTCTCCAACTTCGGCCTCCAACTCCACAAATCCACTCCCACGAGCTTCTCATATTCCTTCACCATCTCCTTCGTCGTACACAAAACCCCATTTTTTCCTCCCTCCTCCTCCCTCCCCAATCTCCTCCACCTCTTCGTTAATCCTTATCTGCAACATCCCAATGTCCGTCTTGTGTATGCCGATATGGGCTTATTATAAACGAATAAGCACCCAAAAAAAAAGTGTTGGTTTGATCAATCTTCAAGGATTTTGTGAACTATAATTCCTTGCTATAGTTTCGTTATTATTTCTTTAGCTGAATATCTGAAAGAGTTTATAACAGGTGGGTGCTTAAAGTGTGGTAATTGGTGATTCTTCTTTCTTGAAATGCTTGCACTGCATTTTAATCGTTATTCTCAATGTTTATTCTGAATGATGAACTTATTTTCAATGCTAACCACTATTCCTTATTTTGTATTGTTTTTAAGTGAATTTTTGACTTAAAAGTATTAATTTCATGGCTATCACAATTCCGTTACACACAACATTATAAAACAGGGGCAAAATGGTCATTTTTCCAGAAATAATTGTCTCACAGTTGTTTTTACATAATTACCCCAAACAAGCAGCCAGCTTCCCCGCAGCAGCTTCTCTGCTGCAACTGAGAAGCTAAAAAACTATAGTTGGCCCAAACATACCCTTAAGGAGAACGACCAACTAAACTACACTCTATAGCCCATCTCCTAGCATTCAAAAAATTATCAACTGACACTCATCTCCTAATGACATTTGTGACACTCAAAACATAATACCACCATGGGAGATGTCTCTCACAGCACATATATATTATGTTGTACAAATGCTTTCTTAAGCAGTTGAAATGGTGTCTTCTATTAGAATTGTTCCTATTTCACAAGTTTTTTACATAAAAAGTCTAACATCATCTATGTGATGCTCTCCATTTGTCTGCATGTATGACAATCATTTTGAATTTGCTAGCAAGTGACAATTTAGTGTAATATGTACAAAATAAGTTCAGAATACGACGCAACTGAAGATACAACCTTGAAAATATGTTCGCATAACATATTAGACAATCAGGCAACCCAAGATACAAACTTCAAAACATATTTGTGTTAATGTATTAGACATTGTTGAAATCAAGCAACTCCAATCCATATAACATACTTTGACATATGCACAAAAACTTCACATATAAAAAATGGTCATTTTACAGAAGTCCCCATCCTCATTGCCTCCTTACATAAAGTTGTCAACGAAAATTATCGTTAGCCATCATCCCCACTCGATACCACACATCATCCGACATTGACACATGCTCTCTCCACCATGAATATTTTTTAATGATATTAATACATCCCCATTATTCATTAAGTGGTCCCAAGTTCAGCACAAAAGAAATGGAGAGCACAAGGTCAATTATAGACATGTGATGGCCATAAAACTCAATAAAGATAATAAATCAACGTAAAATATGAAGAAATTTATCAAAGTTTCATCAACTTAAATTGGTGCCTAAATCCTCTAGGTTATAACAAAAGAGTACACAACTTCGACCAATGGCCTTTGGTATGAGATTCAAAGCACATATAGAAAATCAATCCCATAAGGCCATGATTGTATTGTGTCAAAGTACAACTTTAAAACTAAACCACAAAATCGATCTCCAGCATGTGTAAAGCCTCGTTTAATGTGCTACATCAAAGTCATTCACTAGCTTCTAAGTTTAAACTTTGATTCAAATGATCTCTCCTTCCAAGCTTATTGAATTCCAACTAAGTTTAGAAAAAGCATGCACAAAACCAAGCGAGAACTATCCAACCCTTACAAAATGCCAATCAATAAAAAAGAAGGCAAAATACCAAAAGCTTTTTCACCAAGTTTCACTCATATTAAGCATATTTAGATCACCAAAAGAACGTTGATCATAACACCTACGATCATGTCCACCCTACTCATTTCCATTATCCTAACTAGATTCGTTCCTTGAATTCAAATATATATATATATATATATAAATATATATATATATATATATATATATTATCATTTTCCTTCAACACATCACCAATCGTCGTCACCCGATTTCCTCTGCTCTTGACTGAACTCACATAAATCCAGAAGATCCCATCTATCTCTATCACGTGACCATCCATTATCGCTCAATTTCTTCCATTTCCAACAGATTTCATTTCTCAAACCCTAAAAGATACTAATTCTTTGCTCTAGCACTCCACAAAACCTTATCCCCATATCAAACATCCCAATAATGTCATATGATCATTTCAATTATCCATCAAGAATCACACATCTTTAACACATCGATCATGATCCCAACAGTACAATAAAATAATATTTATTGCACATTTGCACTAACACAATAAAGCAATGACACCCCACTACCTCTACATCATCATGGCATATTGGATATAATGCCTCTACAACAAATTAGACATTCAACCTCCTATTAGTTGTCACTTGACGTTTGATCTGCTCTCATCTTCCATGCAAACCATTTGCTTTATCATTGCTAGGATTGGTTACTCGTAACCAACCCTTGCCTCCCATCTCAACACTGCTTTCAACTAACATTTCCACTATAAATACAAAACTTCCAGCTTCAAGGAGTGATATCTAGATTTTGGATCTCTCGTTAAGATTGAACTATAATATTGTAACCTAAAGGGACTAGAGTGGAGAGGCCTTAAAGAGCTTCAATTCTCCTTCTTCCTCTAGCATAGTGTATCTAATCCTATCTCCCTCTACAATGGATAGAAGCCAATTGAAAGAAACACTTGATTATAGCATGATATCTATTTTCAATGTTGTCACTATTTGCAAGCCAACTCCACTTTCCATAAATGAAGTAACCTTGCTTGGACGCTCAAGCATCCTCCTCTTCATCAATTAAAGAACTTCGACAAAAACCCTTGTGTCCCTCCTGTAAAGCTATATTTCATCATTCACATTTATAATGCTCTCATTGAGAAATCTCTAAATACTAGCAAAACTGGGGCATATTGAATAAAAAATGATCTTAAAGTATTAGAATTACATGAAAATATGACACACAATAAGACAAGATGGAGAAAAAGGATTTATATAGTTGACTATGTTTAGTAGGATGAAGGCATGTTGTTGTTGTTTTAAGACAGTTCTAAGTTGGTTTAATGAAACTTGGTAAAGAAATGGCCGTCTCTTGTTGGCCATCAAATGTCGCCTACTTCATCAACACATCGACACAAATCCTGAAACTTTCCAAGAATATTCCTTCTTTAGTAAGTGTTTTGCCCTGCATCACTTGCTCGTCACTATTTTCAACTCTAAAATGTAAGTAACTCAGCCTCGAAACATTGTTCTAGGGCACTCACATCGCCCCCAATGACTATCAAGAAAGCTTAATGATATCATGCCTGCACCAATGAATTGCCCCCTTAAAGAAGTCCCTTTTCAACTCTAATATTGTGATGAAACCAATGACTCATCCTTTCACTAAAGATCATGGTGAGCATCTTGAGGAAAGTTCAATGCTCTATTGTTGGACTTCTACGAAAGTCTTAAACAATCCAAAAAGTATAGGGAGTTTTGATGATTCAATGGACATGACAATAGACATTGAAAACCTTTGCAACAACTTCGAAGAATGTAAAACGAAGATGGTTCAATGCCTTTCATCAATCAACAACACTTCTAATTAATTGCAATAACTATTTGCTAGGGAGTTTCTTAGTTTCAAGTGACCTCTATAGTTCACCCAGACATTAGTCAATGCCTGACAGGCGGAGATTAGTTTAAAGATTACATCGCCAGATTCACCCAAACTAATTGAAAAATTCTTAGAGCAATCAAGTTGTTCTTAATCATAGATTTTCAAACTGAAAAATGATTTATCATGAAAAAATCATTAGCAAAGATGGTAAAATGCTAAAAAGCGTCCAAAGCTTCTAGCACTTGCTCTCTCACTTATCAATGAATTGATTAAGTTAACTATCCATCATAACTAAACTCCTGATATTATGCATATATTAACACCTAAGGCTTGTCAACAACCAACGTCAAGGTTCTAGTAGATAACAACGTCTAATGGCCCATATTGGCCACCTAATCTACCTCGTATTAGAAAAGAAACCAATTAACTGCTGACCGCCAACCATCAGTCAAATTGTAATCAATGTCATATGACCTCCGTCATCCATGTCATTGTTGATGTCGCCAGCGTTCCATGTGGTAGCCTTAGTCCAAATCACCTCCAACAACATCATCGTCGTCTACACATCTCCACATCACTTACAGCATGTTCTCACCATCATGGAACCAAAGCTACAACTTTCATTGCTCACCAAACCAAAAACCTAGTTGAAACCATCCACATCACCCACAATCTGACTGATCCTGTATGTCGTCGCCCTTGCCAGCTATCATTGATGCTCCCTTTCCACAACCTAAAAAGATAAAAATACAATATACATATATATATATATGATTCATTACTTTTACGCTAAAAACAGCCAAAAAACTCCTAGAACTTTAAATGCATTAATTTAACATTCATTGCATTTAAAATACATCTACTCTGAAATCTTAAAATCCAACTGCCTCTAAAAAACTTTTGATTCTCAGTTAAAAAATTGTTCATACAATTGAGGCTGCATATTGTTAGCGTCATCATGCAGAGGGCGAAAACCCATTTTGTGAAGCCTCATATCATGTTTTTTCTTTATTTAATGCCACCAAGCTTGCCCGAACATTTACTATTTTCCACCAACAATAACAGCATTCAGGTTGTAAATTCACAAGACTCCCTTTCCGAGCCTGCTAGACCATGACAAGTAAATATAGGCTACACATAACCTTTCCTCAGCAACTCAAACAACCCAAAACGGATTATTAAAAAGTCAACGTCGTTTCCAATGTCCGATACTGAACCATAAAAAAACCCACCGCAACATTTCCATCGATGGAATCATATTTTCCATAACCAGGCAAGCGACAGGTGCATAAAACTATAACTTTAACCACCGTAACATCTCATCAGAAAGAAATACTGAACGAAAGACCAGAGAATCACGCAAGCTCCTTCACAAAAACTGCTTTAAAGAGATAAAGGAGACGGAGTGTACGAACCTGTGAGATCAGCGAGAAGAGCCCTACAAGGCCCTTGGATGGTGTTATTACCAACATCAAGCAGCCAAAAACCCACAACAAATATAGCAATAGCACGAGGCCGAATCAACGCGTCGACAGGATCGCCAAAAATAGCGCCAATATCGGCCGCGTGGCCAATCAGTATAACGGATAACGCGATGACAGCAGCACCACCAATAATAAAAGGGCGGCGCCGTCCCATCTTGCTGGCACATCGATCGCTCATAAGGCCTACAAGAGGCTGCACGAAGAGCCCCGAAAGCGGGCCGCAGAGCCACACGAAGCTCGCAAACGAGTGAGGAATTCCCAGCTCCTGTACGTACGGCGTCAGCAGCGAGAGCTGAAGGGCCCATCCGAACTGCACGCCGCTCGCCACTATTGTCACCTGCAACAACAATCGCAGCGGAACCCTAGCTTGCCGTCTGGGTGGTGGCGGTGGGGGCGGAGGCGGCGGCGGAGGCCTCGATTTCCTGACGCGATCCTTGCCGCTAGTGGTCGCCACTTCCGCCGCCGACGAAAGAGACGATCGCCGACGCTCACGCTGCCGACGAAAGAGACGATCGCGGCCGGCTTTTCGCCGTCGGCTGTGCTGCGCGCTTCAATTCGTGCGGTGGATCGCTCATCACGATATCGGCGGGGGGGGGGGGGCGGTGGATCGCTCATCACGATATCGGCGGGGAGATGAGATTACAGCAATCTGCACTGAAGGGATGGAGATCTCGGAGCCTGAGAGAGACGAAGGAGATTTTAAGCGACCGGCGATAGGATTGCTCACTCCCACTCTTTTCTGGCCACTGGGTATCGCGGTGAGGGTTAGCTAAAGTTGACCTGCTTGCGTGTAAACACGAAGCGCCGAAAGTGGAATTATACGAGGGCGGTCAAGGGACTTCCATACTCATTGTAAATTGGGCCAGCCCGGATTATCTTTTATATTTACATAAATAATTAAATATTACATGGAGGAGGTAGTGTGTGGCCTGAATGGCTTCTAATGTTAACAACTATACAGTTAGATGAATTATAATATTCCAATAAGTAATATTATCCTTTTAGGTGTTAATCCGACTGTTAAAATCTTTAAATTTTTTTTTAATAAGGAGTGAAGAATAGTAAAGATTATGAAAATGGGAAGAAATAATTATGGATGAAATCATTTTAAGAAAATTTAAAAAAAAATATGTGTTGAAATTGAACTTCTTCGTAACAAAAATATGTGTAAAACATGAAAATATCACTCCTACGCTTGCAATCGAAATCACTCTATCAGCCGACTTGTCATTCGGGTTAACCACCTCCACCAGGCCACTTGGGTGCCCCGCCGCCTGGGCTGGCCATCTCCACCGGCCGGCCGACAACCTCTAGTTGAGTCGGCCTCCTTGGGCCGACCACCAACAGTCACAATGGGCCGAAAAGCTACAGAACGGCAGATCTGACCGAGGAAAAACCAAAATACTATGTACTGCCCTTATTAAAACGATGTCACTTTTATAATATTATTTTTCCCTCTTTTCTTTTGATATTAGTAGATGACTCATGACATTTATTAAAAATTCATTGGGCTCTCCTCTCTCTCAACCCATCATGTAAGGAGATTATCTCCTTTTCCTTAGTCTTGTAACTTATATTTGCTAAGAAAGAAAATGGGTCAAAGTGCCCCGAAACACCCATATTTGTCCCCCATGGGATAAATCTTCTCTCATTTGGTCGCCAAGCTCTATCACTTAGGCACTCACATAACAGATTTGGATTCAATATCGTCAAATATGCGGTGAGAGTGTGGCAAGCCGACAACAAAAAGTCGAGCACACAAAGAGGGGGAAATTCCTAAATAGAAAAACAAAAAAATATATATTAGTATTTATTTTCATTAGTTTTTTTTTAGAAATAAGAAAGAATAAAAAATAAAGAAGAAAGAAAAAGAAAAGATTTCTCCTCACACTTAAAGCATCTAAAACCCGTCTCGAAACTAAACTCAGAGAAACCTTTGAAGGTGGTTCATTGTCCAATGACAACAAGTTTTGTCAAGGGCGTGACACAAATCACTCCATTAGCAAGTCTCGGCGGTTACCCTGGTGAAAACAACTAAAAGATCTGCCTAAAACCTTGTGAAAAGTGTGGCCCATCGCAGACAACGTTCTAATAGAGCAAAAGAGATAGGCACAGAGTGAGACTTGAGTTGGGTAGATATTGCATCTAAAAAAATCTAAAAGCCAACAAATGGTCTTCCCGAAGAAAGGGTCATCGATCAATACACCAAAAACCAACTAAAAAAGAAAGCAAAAAAAAATCCATGCAAAATTAAGGGACTATAAGTAGTAATTGATGAAATTATATTTTTGTTATGATTCTTTCATTCTTATTACAGCTTCACCTTTAAGAAGCAAAATACTCGAGGGTTTTATGTATAACAAGAAAATATCACTGCCCTCATCAGGCTAAAGAAATTGTCATTAAAATCACACCAGCAGCTCGCTTCATCAGCTGGTCGACCCCTTCCACGATCCGACCGACTACCTCCATCAATCGGTCGGCAACCCCCACCCCTAACAGACAACCTCCCCTGGCATACCAACTACCTTACATCAGCAACGTGCATCTAATGACATGTGCCTATCGAAAAGCTCCATAGCAATATATTTGAGCCAAGAAAGGACCAAAATAGCATGTAATGCTCTCCTTAAAGCAATAACACTTTGTAATATTACTTTTTTCTCTTTTCTTCTGTTATAAACTAACCAATGACATGTATTAAAGAAAAGAGAGATCTCTATATATCCCTCTCAACCCGCCATATATAGAGATCTCTCTCTCCTTCCCATCTGTTTTAACATTTATTTGCTAAGGAATAAAAGTTGTTAGAAAGTCGAAGAACACCCCTCCTTACCCCCCACGAGGCAAATCTCTCTCTTTCTCTCTCGCATGTCCCTCTTTTCTCTTCCCTGGTTTTCAAGCTATCCCTTGGGCACTCACAAGATAGATTTGGATTCAACATTTTGAAATATGCGATAAGCATAGAGCGTGTTGACAATGAGAAAACTAACGCACCAAGGGAGAAAATCTTAAACATGGAAACAAAAAAAAATATGTGTTTCTTTTCGTTAATTATTTTTAAGAAAAAAGAAAAAATAAAGAATAATGAAAAAGAAAAAGAAACAACATCTCCTTGCACTCAAAGCATCCAAAAGCCATCTTGAAACTCGACCCGGAGAAAACTATGAAGGCGGTTCTCTATCCAGTGGTGACGAGCTTCGCTAATGGCACAACGCAAATCATCTCATTCGCGAGTCTCGACATTTACAATCGGAAAAGAAGTGAAATGATTCGCCCACGACCCGACGAAAGTTGTGGCCCGCTAGAGGCAACTTTCTAACAAAACATAAGAGACGGGCAATGAGTGAGGCTTGAGTTGGGCAAATACCACTTCTACAAAAAATCTCAAAACTTACTAATGATCTTCTCAGAGAAAGTGTTGTCAATCAACACATAAAAAAATACTAAAAAAATGCGAAAAAAAAAACTACAAAGAAGTAAGGGAGTATAACTGGTGATTGATAAAATTACATTTTCTTTATTTACGACTCTTTCTTTTTTTATTACAACTTCAACTCCAAGAAGTAAAAAGCCTCAAAGGCTTGATTTATAACAAAAAAATATCATTGCCAGGCTAGGCCAAAGAATCCATCGTCACAATCACACCAACAATCCTCTTCATCGGTTGGTTGGTCACTGAGGTCGCCACCTCCACGAGTCGGTCGGCCTTCCGGGTCGACCGGCTACTGGGGTCGACCACCTCCAGTAGTCGGTCGACCTCATGGGTCAATCATCTTCATCAGTCGTCTGATCATCAAAGATAGACAAATCATCAGCTAGCCGACCACCTGGGTCGGTCATCTCCACCAGTCGGTTGACCACGTGAGTCGGCCACCTCTAGTTAGATCTTCCAGCCAATCGACTATCTTGGGTCGGTTGCTGCATCTGACGACCCCTACTGATAGAAAAGCCCCAAAACGACATATTAGAGTGAGGAATGACCAAAATACTCTATAATGTTCTCATTAAAGCAAGTTGCTTTTGTAACATTACTTTTCTCTTTTTTCTTCTGCTATAAAATAGGAACCATGACATGCATTAAAGGGTCTTTGAGCTCTCCTGTCTCTCAAATCCTCATGCAGCGAGATCTCACTCTCCTTCTCTTCTCTTATAGCCTCTATTTGCTAAGGAATAAAAGGGGCTAAAGAGCCTTGAAACACTCCTTTTGCCCTTATGGGGCACATCCCCTTCTCTTTCCCTTTGGCACTCAGAAAACGGATTTAGATTCAACAATATGGAATGAATTGTATATTAAATTTAAATAAGTTGAATCTAGCTCAATTCATGCTTAATTAAAGCTTAGCTTGCGATCAAAATATAATTTCAAACTCAAAGCCGACTTCTGATACTAAATAGAGCAGAATTAAAAACCGTGCCAGCACAATTTTGGTTAGTCAAGCTTGTCCGTGAACCAACAAATCAAGCCTAGAGGAGTACAAGCTTCCAGTTATAGCTTGAGCATGAGCTCGCAACTCAATCAAATGGACTTACAAGTGTGTTAATGAGTTGAGCTAGAGACGGCTTGTAAGCCAACACATCTCACTTAAGCCCTTGGTAGAAGTGAACAAATTCACATATTAATCAGCGTCTGAAGAGTTTGCTGAACAATTATATGTAAAATTAAAAAATATTTTTAAAGGATATGAACTTATTATAGTTTTGTAAAAAAAAAAGGATAATAATTTTATTTATGGCTATAGTAATTTATAAATCTTGTTACAAATATTTTATAATTTTTTTTTTGTAAATTAAAAAAAATGGAAAAGAAATGGTCAAGATATAAAGAGAGGCCACCTTGGTCCTTTTTTTTCAAATAAATTTGACTTATATAGTATAGATATGTTATCAACAAATATTCAACATCTAGTATGAATCTCGAGGCGTAACACAAATCTTAAAGTAAATTTTTTAGAAAGAAATGTTTAGACTTCAATTAAAAATCATACAAAAATCTGATTTAGTAAACTTAACAGTTAAATAAATCAGCTCGAATAAACGAACATAATGACACCAAACTTGGTCGAATCTGATTCAAACCAAGCTGAGATTGAGTCATTATGTTATTTTTGGAAGCTTCTACCCAATTGAGGTCAAACAAATTTTAAAAATGACAAGTTTGTATTCAAATTGAGTGTTTCGACAAGTAGCATCCAATCAGCCCAAGATCATTAAATTATGACATCATCAAGGCACTCAAGATATTCATAGAACGTCATCTGATCGAGAGAATCTCTCTGGGTTATCAGATAGAGTTGTTTAGCAGGGATATCTCTCTCAAACTCTATAAATAGAGCCTTATCATTCTTTTGAGATAAGACGTAGACCTTGAATTAGAGGAAGATCAAAATTTGAAGCAGGAGTTGAACACATTGTGTTCTACACAAAAAGTCCAATGAATGACGTTCTCTCCTACAGTCGCTGACCATCATTGACCACTGCTCTCTAGTCAACGCCGACCATCATCAATCGTTGTCTGCTACTTGCAATAAAATGTCTTGCAGGGTCACAAATTGTGTTGTGAAACTATGAAACATCCAACATAATAGTAAGTCATCTAGTACACAGTACAATGATGCACTTTGAACATGGTATAATAACGTGTCCTGCATGTTATACAACAACGTACCACAATTACAGAGCGACAGCACACAACAAAGATGGTATAACAATACACCTAAAATACGGTGTAATGACACACTTTATAATAATTGCTTATAACCGGCATATTCAAAATACGATGGTTTTTTTCTGAACCCATTAAGCTTTATCATCACATCTAACTGCTACGCCCTAAGAGACCAACAAGAACATACGTGTTTCACGACTTGCTTTGGTGTCTATAAATTAAGG